GACAGCCCCGCAAGGGAATCTAAATGTGACGTGGTCTTTATTTTTTAAAGGTATCAAGAAGTTGTTGATTTCAAGACCATGCTGATCTGTACCCATTCTTCACTTACCATTACGGTTAGACTTTTGGATTTTGGGAGTTTGTTGGTTTCAACGCAGTTTTTTTCCCAACACTTCTCAGGGAAACAGAATTGAGGTTACCGAAATGGTCAGTAGTTTTCTTAAAGTAAAATTGGAATCTCCACTTAACTATTTAAGTTTTTATATTTAAGATTTTTGTGGAGAAAACCCTTAAATCTGAGGTTCCTCTAGTGGTTGTATATTATGCTGTCATACTTCATGCCCAGGCTAAAAGGAAATAGTGTTTTTAGGGTATATTTCATATCATCTCAAGACTTTAATATCTCCTTTCGTAACTAGTAAGAAAACGTATGTTTTATTGTGTGTTTAGGTATTTAGAATTAGCTTTTCTGATGATAATTAAAATATTCTGTAATCAGGTCATAGATCGACCTCAATTATATATATGTATGTGGATGGATGGATGGGTGGATATTTACAAATAGAAATTTTCCTTCTGGGTAATTTTTAGCAGCTTGCATTTCATGCCTTTTAGTTTTTGTCTACAGAATCCCCCGACTGTATTGTGTTTTGATTTTGGTTAATAGTCTGCGAACAGAGAGGTATAATTTCCTTTTTATCTTCCACCAACCTCGGATCACTTCCTATCTGCATACTTTCATGAGAACATGAGGTGGAACAGAAGCAGCCTCAAAACAAGAATGTCTTAAATAGAAAACAGACTTAAATTATTTTGCTCTGACTTCATTTCTGCTTCTTTAAAGGCCCAAACTCCATGACATAACACAGCCACTCGCTGATTAAAGAGGTGCCCTAGACTCAAAGCAGTGTGTTTGCATATGATCCATCATTTCTAAATTGACAGGAGTGGCCAGTGTTATCATCTAGTTTTCTTTATCTAAGTAAAAATTACCTTTTTAATTAAAAAAAAAAGTTTGGTTGTTGCAAACTCTCAGAACTTCTTATTTTTTAGTGAAGAAACACATTGTGGTTGATAGCATTTCAAAACTGTTTTCAGCCAGGCACGGTAGCTCACGCCTGCAATCCTAGCACTTTGGGAGGCCGAGGTAGGCGGATCACAGGCGTTCAAAACCAGCCTGAGCAAGAGCGAGACCCCGTCCCTACTAAAAATAGGAAAAAGTAGCCACTGAAAGTAGGAAAAATTAGCCAGGTGTGGTGGTGTGCGCCTGTAGTTCTAGCTATTTGGGAGGCTGAGGGAGGAGGATCGCTTGAGCCCAGGAGTTTGAGGTTGGTGTGAGCTAGGCTGACGCCACGGTACTCCGGCTCGGGCAACAGAGCAAGACTCTGTCTCACAAAACTTTTTTTTTTTTTATCATAGAATATTTTTTCCCAAAGCCACATCTGAATGAAGCAATTGATAGCTAATAATCATAGTAATCACGCAGTAAATGTTTTTTATTATGTGCCCAACTTTGTGCTGGGTTCTTTGTTCCATATCAACCCTGTGAGGGTAGGAGCTGTCATCATCATTGTTAGAATTTAAGCCATTTGTCCGAGCTCGCACGGCTAGCAAGCATGGGAGCTAGATTCAAATCCAGGCTGTCGATCTGACTCCAGGACTCCTGTTTCTGATAGTAATACAGCCCTGAGAAAAATCCTGTAGAGTAAGCCCAGCAAAGACTATGTCTCTAGTGAGATTAAGAAATTTCGTGTTGATCTCATGCCAAAATACTTGATAAAAATATACATAGCATGCAATGTTGAAAGGCCCAATTTAAGGACCATCTAAATATCATGTTCTTGGAATATTTACTCAGGAATCTTTAACAGCTATGAATAGCTCCCTATTTCAAGGATACTCATATATCTTAATATTTCTTTAAAAAAAAGTATAGGGAAACATGTTAGATAATTAACATTCCCAAAACTGCTAAGGGTTTTCTTACAACTGTTAAAATAATGCTGCCACAGGAAAGCTCAACTGAATACAAAGTGTGATATTTCCAAGGCTATGACAGACATTCCAGTGTCTAAGTTATGGCTTGCAAATAAATATCAAGAAATATAAGGGCCGTGGAGCTATTTTGGTGAGCCTTCCTCTCTGGCAGGTTCAGATCCTGGGAGCTCACAAATTTGGGACCCTTTGGGGCGTGTTCCTGCTGCCATAGTCGGTATCTCCGCCAGTTCCTTTGGCTGAGGACGATTTCCCACCAAATTCCAAGCAGCTTCCGTTTGCCGCTTGGAGCCCTCGGCAAACCTGTCGATTAACGGTCTGGACCTGGAGTCCTGGCTCCATGCTCTTGCCTTCAAAGGTTGGTGATGGAGCAGGAAGAGATGAAGAGCTCTGTTTGCTGTATTCTGACAATGAAGATCTGGGTCCAGAAAAAATAAAAGAGAAGGGAGAGGCAATGGAGGCAGGCGATCAGGAAAAGCATCTCAAAGCCAAATTCGGATGGTTTGGATTGAAGCATCGGGCTCCGTCAGGAATAACACTGCTCAGGAGTTGCTAGCAGCAGCCGCAACCAAGACGTTGGAAAAGACAGGTTTTTCCTCTTCAAGAATGAGAGCACCATGCAAATTATTCTTCTGACCTTTTAAAGACACAAATCACATTAAAGCCTTCAAATTTTCCTTTGCGTAAAGGCTGAAACTTTAGCCAGTGGGGCCTTAAACCTCATTGTAGACTACTCGCCCCCAGGAGAGTGGCCGTCCTGTCGTCCTGACTCTTCTGGTTCAGGGAGACGTCGCTCCCTCAGAGACCTGCCCAGACCCCCCTGTCTGCATAGCCCACCCTGTCGGAGACGCGATCGATCATGGTACCCGGTTTGCCTCGTTTATTCGTTGCTGTGTTGCCAGCTTCTATACTTGGCATTTACAGGAGGCCCTCGATACAGAAGAGTGGATAAGTGGATAAATGAGTGAATTCGTGAATATACATTTCACATTTTTTTTATTCTGCGGAGTTTCTGTTTCATAAGCCCGTGGTTCTCAAAAGTGTGGCCCCAAAATCAGCAGCGTTGGCATCGCCTGGGAACTGTTAGAAATGCAGATTCTTGGGCCGCCCCAGACCTGCTGAGCCATAAACTCTGGGGGTGGCCCCTGCCATCTGCGTCGGTGCGGGACCTGGGTCTAAGGTAGTCACCTCCACAGCTGCAGCCCTAAACAACCCCGGGCACAGAGCAGACAGGGCGTATTTGTCGAAGGAATTAATCCACCTCCCTCTTCCCTCTCCGCCCCATGCCTTGCACACCCAGAGCTCTGGGTGCACAAACGTTGAGGAAGAGCTTGACTGATATTCTGAGGACCTCGCGGAAATCTTCTGTGCTCTGCAGTGCAGACCTTGCTAAATTTAGAACCCAGCTCGCCCCTTCCTCCTTCCTGTGCCCTCTGCAACAGGAGAGGAAATTTCCAGCTGCTGCTCAATGCTAATTTGTTTTCATTTGACTAATTTGTTTTCATTTGTTTCATTTGACCCTTGGGTTCCTGCGAGTGAGCCCAGAGGGAGAGGTGACTAGAGGTGGGCTCGCGTCACCACCAGCCCCACCAGGGAGGGGTCCTTGTGAAGAAGCCGGCCCTTAGGTGGCTGGAAGGGGCGGTCCTCACTGCTCAGGGATGGGCTCCTGTTCTCAGGCCAAGTGTTGCTCTGGGCCCAGCAGGCTCCAGCACGAGAGAGACTTCCTGGGGCTCTCAGCCCTGCTGTTCTTACTCTCTGACTTCCAGGCCCCGCCTCCCGCTCCCTCAGAAAGAACCGCGTGGATGCTCACCTGTGCCCAGCCTCAATCAGCCTCTGTTCGGTTTGTCTTTCTCGTGGTGGCTGCGACAGCCTCGGCCATGCCTGCCCGCGTGACGCGGTGACGTTTGCACACGGCAGGGCCCACGTGCGCTCTCCCTGGAATTGCTGCGAAGCACTCTGGCCTCCTCTGTATGGCCACGTAGCAAAGGGCCTAAACTTTAAAATAAAGTGATCCCCAGGTTTAGAGCTCGAGATTTTTAAGTTTTTCTGCCGACGAACACCGAGGCACCTGCCCGATTCCTCCGTCCTGCCTCTGGAGTTTCTCATCGTGTGTCCTCCCCCTCCCCTGCTCTCTTTAGCACCTTTGTCCACTTCGTGTTCGACTCAAAGCCAAGGACGAGATTTTAAAAAGCAGATAGTTCTCCAGCAAACTGATAATATATACACATAGATTAGGTATGTCCGAAAGTGTCTAGTAGATGTATTTTATTGGGTCCTCACAGTGTTTGAAAAGTTATTTTTAAATTTGAACGCCTTCGGACTTGGCAAACACCTGCCCGTTTTCCAGCCTGTTGTCTCCCTCACCACCCTGCTTCCCGCGCTCACATCCCTGGTCTGTTTCCAGACTCGGTCCTGTCCCTCATTGGATTCCAAGGCTTTTCTAGTCTGCTTTCCTCGGGAGTCTTCCGTGTGCAGTTGGAATCTAGGGTGTCAGGAAAGACTCTATCACGGCTCCTCTGTGGGTGTCCCAGTCGGGTGGGAGGGGCTGTTAAAAGCACATGAAAGATACATCATTTACAGAATGCATTTTAAGAAAGATGGAGTTACATTTATAGCAGGGAATGATACATGATACCAACCAGTAAATCTTCCTACTTGGCAAAAGGATTCAGTGGATTGTGCAGAGTTTGCTTGAGAACTTGATTCTCGTTAGTGGAGCTTTCGCTCGTTCGTAGGTTCTTGGAACTGTGAGCCGACTCGATCGTGAGGCCTTTATGTCCACGTTCTCACGTGTCGACCTTCCCATCCGATTCCTTACTTGATTCCATGTTACCCCTTTACCACGTACAGCCACACACGGCAACGTGGATGAATCTCAGATACACCAGGAAGAACCAATCATTTGGACTGTGGACACATCTGCCTGTGGGGTTCCCTTGACTATTGGTGCCGAAATTGGAAGACTCTTCCTCTTCCAATAAAATCCTCTGTTTCCCCCATTTTCCAGCAGATCTATGGAGTGATCACTCGTTTCAGACCGATCCGGACCTGCCACCGGGCTGGAAAAGGATCAACGACATCGCTGGGACCTATTACTGGCACATCCCAACCGGGACGACCCAGTGGGAGCAGCCTGTCTCCATCCCAGCGGATCCCCAGGGTTCCAGGAAAGGCTCCCTCAGTTCCGTGACGCCGTCTCCCACCCCGGAGAACGAGGTAAAACGGACTGTCTTGTGCTGGCTCAGTAGAATAGGTGTCACTTGTGACTTCTCTTTACACTACTTGCTTCTGCCCCAACAGGCCGTCGAGGTGAGCATTTCGGTCATGATGCATGTTGCATTTGGAATGTCAGTAACGTTTCCTCTCGGTAAACAGTGTTAATGTCCATCTTTCAGGGATGTTTTTATTTTATAATGGTTTTCGGGCTCTTGAAACACCATTCCAGGCACGGAAGCAAGGGGGGCTGATTAGTGAGAAGTGGTTGAGGGTCCCCAGGGCTTGAAGAGGCAGCACTTTACTCTGCAGGTACCATCCTTAACATACTTACACACAGAAGAGCATCTCTTGGCCAGACGCGTTATAATTACTGCGTATCTTGTTAGCCGTAGGCTCACTTGATAGCTTGGAGAGGATGTCTCAAGGATAACCCTCAAGAGCCCTCAACTGCTTAACTTCTATTTTAAAAAAATCTGTTTATTTAGCAGAAGTGACGTTATTTTAGAAACAATTGACAGCATAAATTTCTGCTATCCCTGAGGAAGAAATCTACGTGTTTAAACAAAGAATCGGAACATTAAAAAATTTCATTGTGCTGTTTATTAATAGGAAGATTCCTCCTGTGAACCTTTGTGAATCCTGACAGCAAACATTCGGAGAATTACAATTTAGAAAAGGCCACAATTAAGTAGTGACTTTTTTTTTTTTTTTTTGAGAAAAGTGTTTTGATCCCTGACACCCAGGCGTTTCTGCCTTTTTCTGACCACAGTCTTGGGTCCTTTACGTGAGCCCATTTCTTTCACCTTGAGGACACGAGGGCATTTGAACTGTGTCTCTATGGCCGAGCTTCCCTGTCTGTTTGCAGCTGTTATCACCCTTCCTGTTTTTAAAAGTAGGCAACGTCTTGTTTCCTAAATCTCTGATTATTCGCGCATCCCCTCTGGGAGGCAGTAGGGCCTATGAGACCCATGTCCCAGCCACGTCCCTGCTGTTGGGGGCGTTGGCGTCTTATTTACGTAGCCTGAACCTCAGCGTCTCCTACTTCAAAGTGACGCGTTGGGACAGGGTAGGCGAGGACCGTGGTTTGTTTGTACTTTGCCCTGACAATCGGCACGTGCTTGTCCCTGGGCAATTCTGACAACTTTTTATTGGAGCGTAATATTCCTACTCCCTGGGCGATTTCCACGCAGTCGTTTTTTCATCTTGTGTCGGGTGCGCTGGGGAATGAAGATGAACCAACATGGCCCCGGCCCTCAAGGAGCTTGGCACGAAGAGGGGTTTTCTTCCTTCCCCAGACAGCTGCATCCTGGGATTCCTTCCCGCATGGCCGGTGCGGGTTGGGGTGGGCCCTCCCATGAGGGGAGCTGGCCAGGATCCGCCTCTGCTCGCCCGTCCTCACCCGCAGGTCTTTTCTCTGGGCACCTCTGCTGCGGGGATCTCCTTCTCCATTATTCCGGGGCTTCCTTCCGCCATTCCAGCCTTCTAACCGTCTCCAGCAACGGAGAATGCCCCACAAACAGAACGCCGGCGTTCGTACTCTACAGACAGGGAAACGGGGGCATGGAGGAATCCAAGGATGGCATCCTGAGGCTTGTGAAGCTCGGAATTATAGTTCTTGGATTAATTTGGTAGACTTTTGTCTCTATGTTTTCTGTAAACGTCTTGGGAAGAACGCGGCGTGAGTGGGGCAGCTGCCTCGGGTGAAACCTCCGGGTAGCACCTCTCATCCTTGACCTCCTTCGGGGCCCAGTTTTGCCTGCTCCTCCCTGCAACCTGCCTCCCTCCCCTGTGCCATCCGCTGCCCAGAAGGCGCTCCCTCCCTGCCCCCGTCGCTCAGCTCCTCGCGGCTCTTAGGATCGGTTGTGGTTTTCAGGGTGTTTTCATCAACACCCTTTCATCTGATCCCCTCAAGACTCTCGTGTGTCAGAGCAGACAGCCAGCGTGTTGCCCGCCGAGACAAGCGGCAGCCGAGAGCCGGCGAGTGGCACAGCCACGCGGCCGGTGTCGGGGTGGGGTGCAGCCGGCCCCCCGACTCTGCCCTGTGCTGTGGGAACTTCCACTCTCCATTGGCACGAGTTCCTCTCTGCTGCGCCAACCATGTCACTGTGTGGACGCAGGTTTATCCCTCCGTGGAACTTGGCTAAGGATGCATAGTTTTAGCAATTTCAGAGAGAGACTCATACCCTGCACTTTCATAGAGCAATGGGATAGATGCTCTTTAGATCAACCTCTCAGTTGTTCGCTTCATACGCGTTTTACCCCCGTACCTAAAGCCGGCCATTAAGTCACGGGACCAAGCAGAGCTATTTATTTTTGTTTTTTGAGGCAGGATCGTGCTCTGTTGCCCATGCTAGAGCACATCATAACTGACAGCAGCCTCAAACTCCCCAGGCTCAAGCGATCCTCCCACCTCACCCTCCCGAGTAGCTGGGACTACAGGCACGCGCCACCACGCCTGGCTAATCTTTGTATTTTTTGTAGAAACAGGATCTTGCTCTTGCTCGGGCTGGTCTTGAACTCCTGGCCTCAAACGATCCTCCTGCCTTGGCCTCCCAGAGTGCTGGGATTACAGGCATGAGCCACCACACTCGACCCCAAGCAGATTTAAAAAGCAGCAAATTAAAGTCTTGGAGACGAAGGGAGGAGGAGCAGAAGAGGAACGAGAGGATTGGGGAAAAGACCCCACCTGCCTCGTACCTGGGGTGTGGGAGGCTGACGCTGACACCACACCAGAGGCTCGAAGGGAGGTGGGCGTTTGTGGTGCCGCCAATGACTCGTCCCCTCAGTGCACGTAAAACCCTCACGTGGCCTGTCGCTGTCTTTCCCGTTTTACCTGTGACGGCGCGGGGACGCAGAACGAGGCGGGAACTTGGGCAGTCCATGGCGAAGTCGATCCGACCGTCCGTCACCCCCAAGCTTCACGTTCTGTATCAGGGAGGCTCGGAGACTCCCGACTCTCTTCCTCTCGCCCCCCGGGAGGGCTGCGTCGCACACAGAGCCTTCTAGACAATCACTTCTCCCAATAACGTCGTCTAAGGCGCTAATGACAGTTGAAGAGAAATGATCATTTTCCCAGCACCATTTCTTTGATTCTTAAATAGAATCTATTTCCACTACATGAGAGAAAGCAAAATGCTAAGGGAAAGAAGCAGCTCGTAATATTTCGTGTTAGAAATGCATATTTTATTCAGATTTTTTTCTGCGCTGGCTTCGAAAAAAAAGAATCAAATAAATAAGTGCTAAATCTGTTGCCTGAGCTTCACGAAAGTTCAGGACTGAAAGCTTCCTTACAGTTTGAGGCTTTTACATTTCACATTCCAAAGTTCACTCGGGAAGTGTTAAGCGCGGTGGATCGTGTTTCCACGGCACACGCCAGCAGCGTTTCTGGAAGTTTATAAACTGGCCGGGAAGCATTTGCTGCTGAAATTTGGCACGCACGATGCTCTTCCCCCGCAAAGCGCTTATTTGTTCCAAATTACGTCGCACGTTACTTGGGTGTCGAATGCTAGAGCGAAGGGAGCGCCACGCACAAGATTCGTATGAATAACCAGTAGCCTGAGGCCAGGTTTTATCATATTTGTAACCAAAGGTGCTTCGGGTCCCTAACGAAGAGGAGTACGGAGAAGCTGGGTCTGACACCGGGAAGGCAACTTGCTTCTTAGAACCGTGGTCTCTTCTTGACCCTAAATTATTCTGTTCTTGCCGAAGTGCTCGTGGCCTTGGGGGTGCCCTGAGCAGCCGACACCCCCGGGGAGCACAGCGGGTCACCGCAGCGCCTGTGTGTTTTTCTCTACACTTGGAAATAAGACGGCAACATAACAGGGCCATTCTGCCATCATTTTACTGAACCTCCCGACCCAGTCAAGCAATCACAGTGTTTGAAAGCTGCAAAGAGCCAGGGAGAAGGGCCCTGTGGACGAGAGGGCTGAGGACCCCGCCAGGAGGCCTCCGGGGACTGCAAAACATGCTGGGTCTCTGGTCCCCGCCTCACGCCACCGAGTCAGACTCTCCAGGGACCCGTGAGCCTTCCAGGGGACTTTCTGCTGAGTATGACGGCGGCTCTCTGGTGACCTCGTCCCCCTCTTCTTCTGTGAGTCAATTCCTCATAAAGTCACTGGCCTCACCCCAGGGACTCCCGGGAACTACTGCTGTCCCTCGCTGCTTTGAAAGCTCTTTGTGACATCACATCCCTTTGTCTTCTGTGGCATGTTATTCTTCCTCTGGGAAGTGCCTCAGTGGTGGGGACCTGCCCCTCATCTTGTGTCCCTGGCACGGTACTGGGTACATGGTGACGTTCATTAAATATTTGCTGAATGAAGGAGCAAACCGGCCTCGCAGCCCAGGGAGCTGTTCGTTGATCTTGGTGGCAAAGCTGGAGCCAGCGCCCCAGGTCTCCTGACCCCCCTAGATTGTGGTTTCTATGTTGTGCTGCTGTTCACAGGGGCTAATTTAATTGCACAAGCTTCTGTCAGCCTGTTTACCAGTTTGATTTTTTTTTTTAACTTCTCTGAATCGTGTTTGTGTGATAAACCATATTGTTATACTCTTCTGATAGTATCACAGCCACCAAAAACAAAGAGCATTTTAAAAAGGACAGCCCAGCATGGCAGTGTGTTACAATCATGCCTGTGAAGAGCCATGGCACTCCAGCCTGGACAGCATAGCAAGACCCAGTCTCTACAAGAAAGAAGGAACAGCTATGCACATGTAAATTGATACAACAATATAACACTGATTGACATTCCTGCCCTATTCCTTGGAATTCCAGAATTCCAGGTTTACTGCTATTGACCAAGGCCACACCTATCAAGGCTCAAGTCTTGACAAAATGAGATTGAGCAGAGTAATTCGAAACACTTTATGATCCTCAAACTATGTTTTCCTCCATAGAGAGAGAAACTGGGGGATAAGGAAGCTCATGTCTAGAGCACCTTTGGGCAGCCAGTCCCCATGCTCAGAGCTGATGCTCTTTGTCTCGCTCTGTGGGCGTGCTGACGGGAGATCCTCTCAGCCCTGTTTTATTAAAATCTGTGAGAAAATTGAGGTCACAGAGCAAACGAGAGCAGAAGAAGAATCTGGACCTGGCTTTCCAGCAGGCTGTGTGTCTTAGTTTATTTTCTGATGCTTATAACAGAATACCTAAAACTGGGCAATTTGAAAGAAAAGGAATTTATTTCTTACTGTTTCAGAGGCTGAGAAGTCTAGGTTGAGGGAGGCATCTGGCTGGGTCCTTCTTGCTGGGGCGGGGGGGACTCTGCACGACCCTGAGGGGCACAGGGCACCATGGCCAGCGGCTGCGCGTGCTGCTGGCTCGCTTCTCTCTCCCTCGCTGAAGCCACGGGTCCCACTCCTGTGGCAACCCACGAATCCACTAATCCATGGAAGGGTTAATGCATTCGTGAGGGCAGAGACCTGACACCCAATCACTTCTCAAAGGTCTCGCTTCTCAGCACTGCCGCTTTGGGCATTAAACGTCAGCGTGAGTTTGGGAGACGGCAAATATTCACACCCAGCACCGCGTAACTTCAGAACTTCTAAGTGCAAATGGAGGTGGTCCGATCACAGCTTCCCGAGAAGCCTGCATGGAACGTTCCGGTGCTCTTCTTCTCTGCACTCCGCTCTTGCGGTCTGGTCTGCATCTGCTACCACGCCACAGAGACTTTGCCAGCACCCTGAAGAAGGTCCCCTCACGGGACTCTCCCAGCCCCTGAAACTTCATCCTCAAGAGCGATCTGTTGACGTTGTCAGAGAATCGACTCCAAGATTGGCCTTTTTCCAGCGGAAAGACAGTGCGTCTTTTTTTTTAATTTGTGGAGTTGTTTTCCAAGATCCCGCAAGAGAACTGTGGAAGGGGAAATCTCTCGGCAGTTGAGCTTGTAACCGTCGGATTGAGTCCACCCTGGCGCGGCTTCTGCACGGCGCTCCGGGCGCGGGTCGGTCCCCTGTGCACACTGTCCCCGAGGAGCCAAGGCTCCGGGGCTTTCCGGAACCAGCGTGGTCACGGTCATCAGCGCACGGGCGTTGCAGCCTGGGCAAGAGCAGGACAGGTGCTGGGAGAGTGTCCCCAGCTACAGCGCTGGCACCCGGACGTCACTCGGCTGTGCAAGGCGTTGGCCGCGTTGCCTGGAAGACGGTCTCTGTTCATCCTTCGCTGCTCTTTGCCTGTCTCGGTGTCTTCGTCTTGCGAGGCTGGTCGCTCCGCCTGCCTTTTCCTTTCATCGTCTTCCCCTCCGTTTCTCCTCTTCCTTCTCACCTCCCACCCGTTCTACAGAGTGAGGCGGCTACAGGCTTTCTTAGAATCAAAGAGTCTCTGTTGGTTTTTTTTTTTTTTTTGCCTCAAAAAAGCATTAGCAAGAATTATTGGCCAAATATAGAAAACATTCTCCCTAATTAAAAAAAAATTAGATGGATAGAGTATGTAGTTCTTAAAACTTAAGACATAGTGTTTTTTGTCTTTAATTGACCTTAAAAAAGATTTTTTTTAGAAATACAGGGAAAAAAGTTTGTCATCTTTGGTGTAAATGAATGTTTTTAAATATGGGGGGAAAAAGATCTTTGGCTTAGTTATAACGTCTACAATGCTTGTTTCCATTTTTCCTTACTTGAGTTCTGTGTGCTTTGAAAGGCTTTCTTTAGGAGCGCCCATGTTATTTTAAGGTTTTGCAAAATCACTGTGCGGGATCTTTGTTTATTTAAATCTGCAAAAGGTGATTGTTGGGAGTTTTCCAGCCAACTCATGTTTGCATAGCGTGAGAGCTGGATTCATGTAGTCTCAGAACTGTGGTCCGCTTTTACTTTAGAGGGACCCTATATCCAAAGAATAAATACATAAAAAATTGTGAAAGCCACACACACACAGAGAACTGTTTCAGTTAAGTGCTGAAGGCTTTTCTGAGTACTTATTTTAGAAAGTACTCACGTTTCACCCTCTCTAGTCCCAACGCGTAGTGTCTCCTGAGGATGATTTCTGGTTTCAGATTCTTTTTGTCAGACACTCTTCCTTTTTTTTCTTTTTTTAAAAATTTCTCCACAAAGATGCAGTTGTCTTGAGTCTTCCTAATTCATCATCTGATACCCTTTTTTCAAAGTTAAACTTAAATGAAAACCAAATATTGCTCATATATAAATAATGATGATGATTCGGGGCCACGTCGACTTGTTTTCTTTTTTAAAAAGCAATTCTAGCTTAAAATTTTATTTCACGCAGTTGGCATTTCAGGTCCTCATCACAAGTCCTTAGTAAGACCTCTGCAGTGTTGACTCTAAACCTTTTGGTCGCCGGCCCCTCTGAAATTTTGAGGAAACCGGGGCATCTTCTTCCCAGGAAAGCAAACCCCACGCTGGCTTCAGGGGGTTCTCAGCTGCTCTGAGCTAACAGGTCAAGACTCTCCCGGGTTATTAACTTTCTTCTCAGTAAAGACTGAACACTGCCTTTGGGGGTAGCGTCAGGGGAGAGGTAAGGGCTGCATTTCATCCCTTTTATTCATTAAGACAAATTATTTTGAAAAACATAGTGGTCTAAGTTCTTTTTCATTTTGAAAAACTGCAGTTCAGGTGCCTGAACCAGAAAACAAAGCAAGAGGACACCACCGTGCAGCCGTGATAATAGATTTAAATTTGCAGTGCCTTTGCCCCATGTACAGTTCTGTGGAGTCCAATAAATGCATCTTTCGACCCACAGGACATTCGAACTTAGCTTCTGCTCATAGTGGTTTTAAGAACTGCATTAACGTTGTGAGTAAAAGTTATGGGTCAGTATCCACTTCTCATTTGCAAGAAGCTTTAGTGGAAAAGTTTCCTATGTTGATTTATTTATCCAAGGACAGAGATTTGCATAACCATTCAGTAGAACAAATCCACAGGACTGTCTTGGGTTTTATTAGCTCCGACGATGTCCCCAGATCTTAGGGAGAAATACGTGAGTATTCACTCGGCACGGGAGAAAAGAAAAAGACGTTTTCTCCTCTGAGGTGGACGGAAGGAGTCGTTAGATGTGAGGATCTGCGGGAGTTCCCCCAGCCAGCCGGGCTCCACGCTTTGTCCTGTAACGACGTGTAGGAGATCATTCCACGGTGGAGAATTTGTGAAGAGTTTTGTGTCGTAAGGATGTAGAGCTTTCCATGAATTGGAAGAATCTCCAGTAGATTGTTTCCGGCTGTTTAGTGTTAGGGTGAATGTCGGCAAAATGCGAATGTCAGGCTGTGCTTCCTCTTTCTCCTTTCTCCCCTTCGTGCTCCCTTTTTTCTTAAAGTGAAAATAACTTGACCTCCGACCCCAGCTTTTGTGCCCTTAGCCATGACCATCCCAGTCTCCAAACCGCGGTAGTGTCTGGGGTTTCGCTCACACCCCCAGGAAACAGCTCTGTTTGGTTTGTGGGGAGGAAAGTGATTGCTGTGGAATTAGGTATGCTAGTTATCGAATCCTTGCAAGCGTATTGTTTGTTTGTAAGACCACGTTTAGAAAATAACTTCACTGTCTGCCTCCGATGACGTTCAGTCATTTGTTTTGGTAAATAATGAAGCCTCCATCTCTCCTCTCGCTGTAGTTTTCAGGTGATAGTCTGGATTTAGAGGGCGAGCTAATGAGTTGCTGTTAGAGTTAATTTGTTCTCTAACCCATCCTGTGAATATCAATGCTAACAACGTGTCTTGTGTTTTTTCTTTCTTTTCTTTTTTTTCTTTAAATCAATGTGCTTTTTTTCTATGTGAATAATTATATGTCTAGAAACAGCCATGGAGTGATTTTGCTGTTCTGAATGGGGGAAAGATTAATAGTGACATTTGGAAGGCAAGTATATTGTCAGATTTTAGATCATTTAATCTTTTTTCCTTTCTGCATGGCTGTGGCTGTATGTTTTTCTTCTCCGTGAATGTCATGCATTCTGCAGAGCTGGAGCGATTGGGCTTCTCGCTAGGGGCGTTCAGCTCACACTCACGGTGCCTTTTTTCGATGTGTCCCATTGCGAATGACTTCAGGCCGACTGCCCCAGGTCCCCTGGGGTTTTGTAAGATCAGGCTTGCACTGAGTCAGCACCCAGCAGCCCTTGCATGCCTCTTCCTGCCTAAGCTCACAGACACTCTCTGCCTCTTGCCGGGAGGACTGTTCTCCTCTTTGATGTTTGAGGCAATCAGTGGACTCCTCCCCCACTGGCAGTTAACAGGGGTCCGTTCTCCTCCAGGATTTGCACGCGGCCACAGTGAACCCGGATCCCAGTTTAAAAGAGTTCGAAGGAGCTACACTCCGCTACGCATCTCTGAAACTCAGGTAGGACGTCGGGAGGATTTGTCGTAACGCCTGGCCATGTGCAGCTGGAGTTTGCAGTAGGATTCTAAGTCCAGTTTTCTGTTTTTCTTTCTAGAAACGCCCCACATGCTGACGATGATGATTCTTGTAGTATCAACAGTGATCCAGAAGCCAAGGTTTGTAAGAAACATGCTTTCAGCGACCAGGTTATAGTCTTGCCTCAAAGTAATGGCTTTGGATGATAGCCTAGTTTTTACAAACCATCAACCCAGAGCCACTTCATAAGTGATTATCCCACAATTTTCTCTCTTTGCTGATCTCCCTGACACTTTAAGAAAATCCTTGGCCAACTTGGGTTTAAAGGGATTTCTGTAACCATCAAGACTCTGCCTGTATCTCATGACATCTGCTCTTTGCACAAGGTAGTAGGTTAAAATTACTGTTCAAATGGGTGGGCTTCAGACGTCTTTAAAGGTATGCCGGGCTCTGCTTTGCAGAGCAGTGGGAGGGGCGTGAGACCCGCCAGAGTAGCCTCCCACCTGCAAGGTGAGGTCTCTCTACCGTCCCTGTCATAGCACAGGTTGGAGGCCTGCGTTTCATGATGGGATGTGAGGGCAACCTGCCTCCGTTTTGTCTCTGGACTTTGGCGGGTACCAGCAGGGCTGGCTGTGTGGACGTGCGGCCAGCGCAGTTGCACGGGGCCCCACGGCGGGGGGACTCCTCTACGTAGGGTTTAATGCTGTGAGGTTGCCATCTTGAAATTCTTAAAAATTTAACCTTTGAATTTGTATTTTATAAGTGAAGTCTAACGGGACGATGGAGTGTGCACCAGGGGGTTGGCGCTTTGGGTTGCGCACACTCCTGCTGCCTCCCCACCTCGCCGGGTGATTCTTGGCTGCCTGTGCCCCTGGCACGCCAGGCCCCACCAGACCTCCCCATCTCTGCCCCAGTAGGGGACTGGGCATGAGGGGATGGGGGCTGGTGCACACGCCCCGTGGCATCTTGGGATGGGACTTGGTCGTGGCCAGCCCAACCCAGGCTGGTGGCACTGCTGTATGTTCAGTGGGGGTGAGCCTCTTGCCTGCCCCCAGTCCAGACACCTAGTGTGTCCCGCACTGATGTTGCAATAGATAACACTTGCGGGGCGCTCCTTTGCTGTGGGTTAAGGTGGTAGGATCCTGGGAAAATTCCTGGCTCCGTTCCCCACCTCTGGCCAGGGTGTGGTGCGTCTGGGAGCAGTGGAGGGAGGGACCCAGACGCTGATGGGCTGGTGTGTCGGCACCCAGCCCTGGGTACCCGTGAGGGTGGCATTTGCCCTGCAAGCGTCCCCATGTCTGAAGGATGCTGAGGTTAGACAGCAGTTACGAAACACCGTAACAAGTCGAGACAGAGAGTGCAGAAGGAAGGAAAAAGCTTTACGTTTTAGTACTTTTTATAGCGTTTCGAACAGCGGGCCCTATATTTTCATGTTGTCTATTTCAGTTATAAATTATGCCACTGATCCTTGGTACTAACTGCCATGGAATGCCGCCATGTCCACGCCAACACCCTTCCTCACCCCTCCATGCCATGGTTGGGGGGAGAATCTTCCCAGATTCTTTGTTATTTGTTCTGAATGCCAAAGCAGATCTGTATCTCCAAAGAAAATAGCAAATAGGGTTCCTTAGTAGTAGTTAAGTGGGGAGCACCATGCAGGTTCAAAACCTCGACTCCTTTGAGAAACTCTCTTATCACCAGTTGGTCCTGTAAGAATCCCAGGGTTCAAAGCGGGGTGCAGGAGCACACACCTGGAGTCCCAGCTACGCAAGAGGCCAGGGTGGGAGGATCACTTGAGCCCAGGAGTCTGAGTCCAGCCTGGGTGACAAAGTGAGACTCCATCTTTAAAAAAGAAAAAAAGTAAAAAAAAAAAAAAAAAATATCTCAGGGTTTCTGGTGAAATCTTCACTGCTTCTAATCAACTCAGCTTCACTGTACTAAGTGGCCTGATAAGACGATGTCCGCTCTGGAGCCAGTGGCATTTTGAACAAGTTCTTGAGCTGCCGCTAGCTGGCATGCTGGCCCTCACGGATAAGTTTCACAGAAAGGAAGGATGCAGTAAAACAGGACGGCGGGCTGTGGATAATTTCTTGGCTCCCCGGTGGCTACAAGGCTATCAGCAAAGGCTGGAGGAGGCCGGGGAGGAGCCGTGTGTCTGTGTCCAGCACTGAGGGCCGGGTGCTCGTACCTGTGAACCTGGTATGGAATCGAGCACGGCGGCAGGGCCCGTCACGCGTGCAGCGGAGGTAGGCGCCGTAACAGGGATGGGAGGACCGGCTCGGTTATGCCAAGTTGGTAGGCTGGGCTTTGTCTCTTTCGCCTCTCAGTTGTGTATCTCACACTGCTTCCATAAAAGATCTGAAAAGACTTCTAAGAACAAAAAGGTGCAGAAAATAGGAGGGAATAGTCAGCGTATCGGTCTGGGCTGGAACAATGTGTAGAGTAAGGAAAGATCAGACTGGGGGAAAGAAAGAAACCCACAGCTTTTCCCATCACAGGATTGGCACAGTTAGAAAACTGACCCGTAGGTGGGATTTTTTTGGTGCTTCCCAGTGATGACTTATACGGAGGATTCTTGGCGTAAATGGCGCCAGTCCCTAGAGGGGCTAATCAGAATCGTAGAAGGACTTTTGCCAACTGCACACACCGCTGGCTACCCGTCCCACCCTTCCTGGAGGTGCAGCCCCGCCCTGCTCTAGAAAGTCCTGTCGGTGCTGAGGGCCATGCATGCTGGGGGCGGGAACGGGTTTCAGAACCTGCTTTGTGCGAATCACACCGTGCATGAGGCAAAGCCTCCTGGTTCCTTATGACATGAAAGGTCTTTCTAGTGCTTCATTATAAAATAATGGGAATAACAAATATTTACTGAATGCCTGCTTTTTGCCAGGCGTAGTCCTGAAAGCTTTAACCTGTCATATCGCATCCTCACAAAAAAAATTCCGTGGGCTGAGTAGCACTATCTCTGTATTTGCAGATGAGGAAACTGAGACATGGAAAATTAAGCAGCTGGTAGGTCATAGAGTTAGAATTTGAATCCAGAGCCCATTCTCACCAGATTGTCTAAGAGAAAATTCTCACTTGGCACGTCACGCGGGGGTCACCACCAAATGATGTGATCAGGGTCCACACCAATATTCCAAATATAGAGAGATCTATAAAAATGTGGATTTTGCCAGTCGGTGTTGCATAGCATCACTCACAGGGAGCAGAGGACAAAGACCCAAGCAAGACGTACTTCACGCGGATTGGTGGAGGCCACGACAGCTGGACCAGCTTTTCTGGTCCATCTTGAGGCAGGGACAAGCTCTAGACTCTGTGGCAGGATGGCCGGGCCATAGGTTTTTCAGACCATCTCTCAGTGGCGTAATTTCGACTAGGCTTGTGAAGACAGCTGGGCCTGGAGCGGAGAGACTGCGCTGATGGTGGCTGGCGGATCCGCTCGCTGTGGACCCACCGCGTGGAGGGTGGGGGGATCGGGGGGTTGGCTGTGCTGCTCCCCGGGATGCTGGGTCCCCCCAACCTCTCATGGACCTGGGCCAGGGGAAGCCTTGCGTGGAAGACCAGGATGTTCTTTTGGAATTACCACACGCATATTTCAAAATGCAACAGCCCTATATGGAAAAAATTTTTCTTTTACAAATTTTGAAGAAGTCCTTGGGTTTAGAAGCGACTGTAATGAAGCCGCTTTGGAGGAGCCTCCCGCCCGGGCCCTCCCCCTTCCCCCTCTTCGTCACTCCTGCCTGTTGCATGCGCTGGGGGCCCAGAGCCAGCACCCCACGGGGAGAAATGTCCAGACCTGGGTTTTCTGGATGTTCAAGCCCCTTTGCAGGAGTAAGTTACTCACTTTAGATAATAACCCTTTTCATTCTTGCGGTCTGCCAAGGACCAGCGCGCCGAGTCCCCCCAAATACACAGAAAATAGCCTTTCTTTAAAAACAATACTTAAGTCTATCGAATTCTAAATATAGTCTGTGTGAAACGATTACCAAAAAAATAATCATAGAAAATGCCTTCCTTACTCCCTACTTAACACTTACGTAGTAAAAAAATAAAAATCGTTAGACTATCAGGATGTAGAATCCTCTCCATCCGCTGGGACTCTGGGCATCTTGGTGATCAGTTGTTCAGTGAAACCTCTAAATAGCAGCGGCACCATAAAATAGCCACACACACACACACACACACACACAGGCACACGCACACACATTCTCCCAAGGAGCAAAGTGTTCTTCTAACTTCAAAAATGTTCCTCAAGCCTACCTAATTTTTTATACAATAAATGCTTTGTACTTTTTTTTTTTTGAGATAAGGTCTTGCTCTGTTGCCTGGACTAGAGTGCCGTGGCGTCAGCCTAGCTCACAGCAACCTCCAACTCCTGGGCTCAAGTGATCCTCCTGCCTC